CCAAATTTGGGCCAAAATCAGTTAGCCCAAACAAAATTCCCACGTCCAAGCCCAAATGCCCTGCCCGGTCCAAGTGCCTCATGATCAAAACGACGTCGTTTTGACGTCGTTTAATCACGACCATCCATCTCCCCAGATCCAGTGGCCACGATTGACTCTCAAAATGAAATAAAACTGTCCGAATTATACAGAAAAAATCAAAACACAACTCCTCTTCCTCGTACCAACCCGTCCCCTGTAACGCCGGTGCCGGCCACCCTCCTCCGCCCTAGCCCCACCGTCCCTCCGCCGTCCGCCGCTGGCCGGAAATCGCCGCCGGCGGCGGCGATGCTCCGATGACCACCAAAAATACACCACTGACTCCCCTCGTCTTCCCCTGTCCAACCATGCCCTCAGCTCCCCTCGAATCATAGCCAATCTCGTCGAATATTCCATCGAAGTTTCCGGCCAAGTCGCAAACTCACCCAAACTGGCCCAAATTCGTACCAAATGTCCCTCATCCCTCCCTCATCATTAATCCCTAACCAAAATCTTTCGAATATTGCCAGAGCTTCTCGAATTTTAGATCTTAGACTGGCAGAACCCTAGCTCAGAAAATCTTGGGGATTTTGGACCGTAATTTCCCTAATCATGTGTGTTCTTTTGAAAACACACGATTAGGATGTTACGTGTCAAGAATCCCGGAGGATTCAAACAAATGGCCGGTCAGAGTTCCCCATAGTCAGTCGAGTGCTCAAACTTAGTAAGTTCTGTTCGATGCTGTTCTGATTCTGTATGCTTGTTCAAATTTGTTTTGATAATCTTTAACTCTTTAGGGCACTTTTGATTTCAATTTTTTCTTCAGTATTTGAGCCTTTACTGTTGTTATTGGTTAATAGTAATCAATTAGTTTAGTTTAGTTTAATTGCGTTAGTAATTCCATGTTCAGGATCTATCTTAAGTTTTGTTCTTCATGTCAATACCATTCCCAGTAGTCATATACGTTTAAGTGGTCTGATTTTAGGTTCAGTTAGTCGAATCCTAATTGTTTACTGCAATTTGATTTTAATGTTTACTGCAAGTTGATTTTACTTGTTCTAAAACGGCTTAGAGTATAATAGATTGCTTGGTTTGTAGTTATCGGAAGCTGTTTAACAACTTGGTCAGTAATATCAGGAGGTTCAAAGGGTAGTTTAGGCATGGGAAAAGGGCACTTTTATCAGATTTGGTAATTTTAAAAGGGGGGTAAGGATAGAATAGGGATTGTAACAAGTATAGAACCAGGATGGACTATATGATGTAGTTCTAATAAACTTGAGGTAGTTGCTTGTGTAACAAGTCAGAAAATAAAGGGCAAACACTGAAATTAGAATAGGGACTAAGGGGTAAAAGGAAAATCTGAAATTGGACCTTAAGTTCACCTATAAATAGGCATTCATTTGCCTTGAGTAAGAAAAAAGGTTTTTTTGGGGGCAGTCCTCTAAACCCCTTCCAAAGGGCATAAAACAGAGTTTCTAAAAATCATAAAATTCCTTCAAAACGATACTGATCTCAGCATTGGGATCAAAAATAAGCTGGTTTTCGAGTATACTGTTCTATATGTGAAAGTAGATTCCAAGAGAGTTGTTAAGGTCTATTTGAATTGCTGTGAACTGAGTCTGAGTATGATCGATTTGGTTTTGGACTGCATTGGTGCTTGAAATTGTTGATGTTTTGGTTCATTGCTGGAGTTTCAAACCTATTCCTGAACTTGCTGTGTTGATTGAGTTATTACTGGATTTCAACTTCTTCCTGGGTTGCTGTTGCAAATTGTCACTGCTACTGATCTTTTCCTTTTCTTATTTGCAATTATCAGGTACACATTTGAATCTGCCCTGCTGTAACATTAAGCTTGAAATGGATACAAATGTTCATCTGTTTGATCTTGAAGTGTGCTGCTTGGACTGTGGTGTATTGATAGTTAAATAGGCGTTAGATTTAATCAGCACAGTGTCGAATCAATTTTGTATGTGTGTAAATACTGGACTGTTAACTGGACTGTATAACTGGACTATTCGTATGGACTGTGCAATGAGATTTAATTCTGAGTATAGCAGTTCACATGTTAGGATCTAATGTCTACTTTCTGCAATGAGATTTATGATTGGACTGTTTCGATTTCTGTTTCATGTCAATAGGACTGCCTATTGCAGTTATTTGTATGAACAAGTGTAATAAGGTAATGTAACACATTAGCCTGATAAGTTGAAGTCAGAATACAATAAGGACTTGAACCTCTTAAGTTTGATACCTCCATATTATTAGTAATCACCTTAGTCTAGTTATCCCGTGTATATTTCTGAAATTAGTTGCAGCCAGTAGTGGATACACTTGAACAACTTGAAATATATTCAGTAGTATTTTTCCGTGTGAATTTGCTTAAGCTCCAGTTCTGATTGGGGCCTGTCAACGGATCGAGGCTTAACAGCCTATTTTTGAATAACGTGGGCATTAGTCTCTACTGATATGTGACCCCATCCATTAGCCCCTCACTTGGGCTGGCGTTAGCCCTGGGTTTAAGTGGCCTCTCAGGACCTGGGCTGATTTTAGGCCCAACATTTGGTTTATTGGGGAAATTCTGTCCAGTCTGCCAGTCCCGTGTGGATTGGTCTGTTTAGGCCCAAGGCTAGGAAGATAATTGACTCGATATTGCCCAATTGGTAAGCTGTGTACACTTTCACAATAATAATCAACTAGACTTCTTCCTTTATTAGAGACAAATCAAAAATAGAAAAATCTTATTCATTTTTAGTTTGGCCTTTTAATGAATGATGAGACGAGCCTCGCCGAATAAAACACACAAATTGCGGGGCCCTCATTAATTGCTTATATCAAAATATTTAGACTTCGGGATGTGTCATTTAGCGAATTTCATGGCTCCCCACACAGTTAATAAACGCGTAGCTACTTTAGGCGCGCATTTTAAATAAAATCACCTTCCTAAACACGGGTGCACATTTATGTGACCCAAATCCAAATCTCAACGAAGTCGAAATGTATTAACAATCACGGGTGCACTGGTGCGACGTGGTTTGAGGCGCATTTCCACGACGTTGCAATTCGTTTAAAACTCGAGTAAATAAAAATAAAAGCGGTTTACTAATAAAAGCACATAAGCTAGAACATATTCCGAAATCAGATAAAATCAAATACAACAGTTGAGCGACCGTGCTAGAACCACGGAACCCGGGAATGCCTAACACCTTCTTCTGGGTTAACAGAATTCCTTACTCGGATTTCTGGTTCGCTGACTATTAACAGAGTCATAATTTCCTCAGTTCGGAATTCAACTGGTGACTTGGGGCACCCTTAATCTCCCAAGTGGCGACTCTGAAATCTTAATAATAAGTCCCGTTCCGATTGTCACTTCAAGTTGGAAATAACTCCCTTTATTATACCCTTCCGGGGTGTAGTGTGAAAAAGGAGGTGTGACAGTTAGGACTATAACATCTAGGCGAATAGTACCCTGCGTATAGATGAGGTTGGTCGGTCAACTTCTAATCGTATTGATAGTCGGCTTGATGGCTTTAAATCGAGGAATTTCTACAAACCAATTTTCAATCACTTCTGGTAATCTACTCGTAACTTCTCTTGGCTGCATAACTTGTCAATCTCGTGAACATAATTATTTGGTAAACAACTATTACATCTCAATTATTTGTTCGGATTGTTATTTGGATCCTGAAGAATTAAAAACAGTAACAGTGGTTGAAATCGAAAATAACAAGAAAACACTCGCTAAAACTACTCACATACCGCTTATATTTTTTTATCGGGTTTGAGGACTTCAACAATAGGGTTGAATGCTAGCTCAATTGGTAAGCTCTCTGTGGAGAGTTCAAACTCTATCAATAGTATTGTGTCCCTTTCCTTTTTTTCCCGCCCCCTCCCCTATGTAAAGTTCGAACATATTTGGAAATGAAAAAATAAGGGAATTTTGTAAAATATATATAAGATTCTATCATCAAAACGAACAATAGACCTTTGTGATCCGACCCTTCCCCGGATCTCGCGCATAGCAGGAGCTTAGTGTATCGGGCTGCTCTTTTTTCATATCATCAAGACGAACCTTAGGGTCAGAAAGCATATGGCTGCATATTTAACCCAAAATCACATTTATATATTAGTTAGACTAAAGAAAAAAACCTTCATACCGACTTTTGGGTTGATAAAAGTAAAATATCGTACAAGGTTATCGAAAATATCATTCTTCTAATTGGAATAAACAAAAAGTACTTCGGTTACTTGCCCCTTTTTATTTCTCATGTTTTAACACATTTAATAAAATTTTAGCAAGAATGAGTCAATATATTAGCAAAAGTTATGTATCTGATATTCTGATTAATTCATATATTCCACGTTGACTTGATATAAAATATGTTTAAGATCCCGTTACATGGTCATCGTGATGAGAGTGCCACCGTTTTCAAAACTGGAATCTGCAGGTATGTTAAATCAAGTTCATGGAATCACGGATACTGTTTCTCTTTTACCAAACTGAACGTATTTAAATAAGACAAACCAAATAACTACTGGAATATCTTATAGAGTAAATTAATAGTTACAGGAAATCAATAAGGAAATTAAAGGAAGCTTAGGGAAAACATTTTCCTCCAATTGGAGGAAAATGAGTTCATGGAGAAAATATTTTCCAAAACATTTAAACCAACCAAACATGGAAAATTAGAAAATATTTTCCGAAAAATATTTTCTTTCGTACCAAACACACCCTTAGTTCCAACTTACAATGACTACTTCCTAAAAAAATTAGTAACACTTACGTAGAAGTGTTAGGAGAACCCCCGAAAAAACATTAAATCTTTTTTTTTTTCCAACAGATACATACTACGTAATTAGAATGACCAGAAATATAATATTGTTCATCATATAATAAGGAAGCAAGAAACCTTATAGGTAATTGAGCTGAAATATTTGTGTAAAATTTTGATTTACAATTATAATTTACTGCAGACAATCAGAAATAAAATTTTAAAATATAGAATGAGTTATGATATAAGGAAATATAAAGTAGCTGAATATATGAGCATTGAGCATTTTGCATGAGTATCTCTATTGATTCTAGCGATGAGTTACATTACAATCAAAATACATTTGGTAACTGTGCATTTTGAAAATGTACAGGCAATATAGCAACACAGCTTACCTGCATCAAGTGACAGTCCAATAGCAGACAATAACTGGTGCAAAAAGAAGCCGAGGCTGCAAGAAGGTTATGTAAGCTGGAAAAAGCACGTCTTCGCCGCATATAAAACTCTACATTACTCTAAATGGTTGATTCTGTTATGAGTCTTGGTGATCTTATGAGCTGAGACTAGAAAGTAATTCACTGTTCTCAGAATCATTTTCAGGACTTGTTTCGACAACTGGTGGAGAAGATACGGGAGCTTTCTGCCCAGCCACATTTAGTCGCAATGGCCGTCCTTCAAGTTCCTAATTGCATTATAAAACTGTGAGAAACAAGGATATGCTAAAAGGTCTCCAAGATACTTCATCACTATTTATCCTTACCACTTCATTCATGGTATCAAGTGCAGAGTTCATTGCTTCAGCAGAAGAAAATGTAATGAAACCAAAACCTCGAGATCTTCCTGAGGACCTGTCATAGATGACTTTTGCACTCATGAAACCGGGCTGGTCAGCAAAAGCGTCTCTTAGACCTTGAGAAGTGAGGGCCCAGCTAAGATTCGCAACGTATAATTTGTGAGGGCTATCCACAAAACCTTGATAGGTGCTTCTTATCTTTGCACTCATTACTTCCCTTTCACCTCCTCTTGGAACCTCAGGGAAATTCACCTTGACCGAACGACCTCCAACTTGCTGTTAAACATTTCACCACAAATAATAAGGTAAAGAGAAAAGAATGTAAGAAAAGAGTACATTTGACAGTCCTCCGACAATCAATATGATAAAAAAATCGGTCACAATGGACAAATACAGATTACTTCAAACTTTTGTAATGGCTTCCATATTGATTATTGATATACTGACTTTATTAAGTTGAGACCATGTCACATCTTTCTCATTTGATAACCATCTAGCAGGTAAACATTGGACTTTTGGTCTTTGCAAAGAATCATAGGATTCCTGTTTGTTTCCCATATCATGTGAACAGTTGTGTCCTCAATTTAACCTTTTCTCTAGGCACCAAGGAGAGAATGTGGGAATTTGTGCATCAACGAGTGCAATAACTCTCTGATACGGCCAGATGACAAGTAATGGCTATAATCTATTTTGTGGATGATTTTCGAGCTGTAAACATCAGGCGCTCTCTATGCCATATTTCAGAGCGTTTAGTAAGCTCCAGAGAGCATTTTGTAAAATTGTAGTAAAAATGTCTTACACAGCCCGATTACTAGCTTTGTCAAACTTGACTGATTAATAGTTTAATCCTCTTTTCTCCCCAGAAAGAGGAAAAAAAAAAAGGATACCTTATAGAAGTTAAAGATACTAAGAAACAAAGAGGACCCAAGCTACATATTACACAGAGAAGAAATCTATCTTGCAGTTGTTACCCATCAAAAAAAAAAAATCTATCTTGCAGTTGTTACATATTTAGAACACTGATATAATTTACCATAAATTGAAGCAGTAGGAAAATAATTAACTATATTTCTTAACAGATGCATAGGTAAAGCATCCATTATTCAGATGAGCAATGAATGACAAGGAGACAAAACATGTTTTCTTATCGAGACAAAGTCCAAGGGGAGCCTTGGAGCAACGGTTAAGTTGTCTCCGTGTGACTAATGCTTGTATTAGGGTAGACTATCTACATTATACCCCTTCCCCGGATCCTGCGTGAATGTAGGATGTTTTGGGCAGCGGGCTACCTTTTAACAAAGTCATCAGTTCAAGATAGGCGAATAACACACCATCTTAATTATATTCCTAATGATTGACTATCAAAATTTAACAGGGGTATTACTATGTTTTGGTATCCCAGACAAATAAGTTCTTTTTGACAGCTTAGCAATGCATAAAAGAGTCCTTGCAATAAAATGATGAGCGAAGTATAAACTTACAGATCCATCAAACAAGCGAATTGCTTCCATTGCCTCTTCAACACTTCCCATTGTAACAAATGCAAATCCACGACTCCTATCTGTAACTCTGTCATAAACAATCTATAAATCCATGAAGAAAAGAACAATGAGTTTCACTGTATCATATATTCTAAAAACGAATATGACATCCATCAAAAGTCGAACTAAAGTACAAACAAGCTTGATACTTGGAAACATGAGCCCAGTTTCAACTACAGCTACTCAATGCTAAAAGTCTTCTTTCAGTTATAATCCACAATAGCAAACCAATTTTCTCCGGCATCAAGATAAAAAAAAAAAACCTCTACATTATCTCAAATGATTTAAGGATTTGAATTACAGCATCTGCATTAGTCTTGCCTGTCTCAACAATCAATTCAGAATGTCTATGCTATGAGATTTTGTTACATAATTAGTAAAAAGTTGATAAATAGCAGACAAGAGCAATCCACATTTACAACTTCTATGACTACCATATGCCACTTAGCGTTCTAGGTATGAGTTCATCCGAACCTAGAAGCTCTAGCTTGGATCTTGTATATGTGTCGAAAATTTTACTTTAGTACAAATAATTGATCTCGAACCATGTAAATCAGATGAGTTGTGGCAGAATATCGAATGTGAATCCATAAAGTTCAAATCTTGGATCCGACTTTGATGCCACCTATCTTTATGTCCAACCATACCCCAAAAACTGACCTATATAATAGTTCTTTAAGGTAAATCATTTTTCAACAATGATAGATATTTTGCATCTCACCAGAGGCACCTGCTCAACTGACAATTAGTCTTAATTACCAATCTCAATGATCAATGTTAGAGTTCATAGTAATAGGATTGTGTTTCCTAATCAGTAAAATAATTGGAACTTCAGTACATGAACAGAAAAGAGCCAAAAGAAGAAAATCATAAAGAATCCAATCAAAGCAACAAAAACTCAAAACAGACCTCAACATTAGCCACTGTGCCAGCTTCAGCAAAGATTTCAGACAATTGAGAAGAGGTCATTGAAAAGGGCAAATTACCCACGTACAATCTACCACCTTCAACTGATTCTGACTCAACACCTTCTTCTTTTTCTTCAATTTCCTCTTCTTCTTCGGCTGACAACGCAACTTCTTCTTCGTCATCTTCTTGGACAACCTCAACTCCATCAGAGACAGAAGCACAAGTGCTCAAAAAGATTGAAGAGCGATAAATAGAAGAAACGGGGAAATGGGCTTTGAGTTTTGTTGCGTTTATCTTGAAGTTGAAGTTAGTATTATAAGTACTTAAGGAAAGATGTTCTACTGAGAATTTAGGCTTTTGAGTGAAGAGATACAGCGAAGAAGTAGAAGAATTGGATGCTGTAGCAGCAAAAGAGAAGCAAGAACCAGACATTTTGTACCAAAGAACCAGTTCGGGGCAGATTCAGTGGAAATGAGAGAAGATAAAATTTGAGGTTGGTTTTCAGGATAAGACCGAGATATGGGGGTTTTCAGGAATTAATTTTGGATTTGTCGTCCTCTCTATTACGCTTCTTTTCATTTCTTCAAGTGCTTATTTGAATGAGTAACACTCGTGGCTATTTAGATTTTAGAAGTCTAGATAGTATATTTTAGAAAATCACTCTCCAACTTTGATAATAATAAGACAAACAAAAAACTCTCTCCCTCAAAATTATGCACCCATTAATATCATTATTTCCATTTTCTATTTTGTACGGAAGAAGTTTTTAGTTTTGCGTTCATTTTAAACATCTTTTAGCAAGTTTGTCTGGGTGCTCATGTTATTTGGCCATTTTTCTAAGAAATTGTAGAAGCTTAATTTTTGGGAAAATTACAAATAAATTGAGAATTATTTAATGGTTCAAAGCTAGAATAATCATTTGGGACAGCGGAAGTATAATCTTTTTTTAAGAAAACAGAATTAAGAAAAAGTGAATAACTTTTTTTTTTTACTATAGAAATTAATAAGGAATGTAATAAAATCGATTCCAAGTGAAGAGTACAGTCAAACCTCTCCATAACAGCATCCCTATATAATAGTCATTCACTATAAAAGTCAAGTTTTCTTAGAACCGATTTTTTAAGTTATATTACCTCTCTATAACAGCTTTTTACTTATAAAAGTGATCACGCCCAACTATGCCTTATAAAAAGGACAAAGCGGTCGCTGCAAATATATTCCGGTTAACAAGTCTTGAGTCGAATCCCACAGGGAATTAACCTATCGATCACAGCTATTGGACTCACAGAAATTCACGTATTCAATCTTCAGAGATATTTGAGTAACAAATTGGGTGTTTATTAACTAAATATTATGTAATAAAAATGCAATAATTAAGAACTAACTATAAACCGTTTGTAAGCAAGAATGGGAATGATCTAAGGTTCTGATTTCCCCTATTGTCGGAATCCTTTCTGCTATTTGCTATAAATTTGCCTAAGTCTTCTCTATCGATCATGAGCACTCTAACTGTCATAACTCTCTCCCGAGTAATTACAACAATATACTAGACATATTCTCCCGAATTACGCTAGCTAGTTTTTAAGTATAACTCACTTAGATCGCACCCAAGGTTTCGTTATCCCTAATCCCACCTTTAAACCCTTCGTATTGATCCCTCATATACGTTAGGAGAGATGATGTTCAACAACTACCTAAATATGCACTCTCTCTCGAGTAATGCACACTAAATAGGAACAGCTAATTGAGGGCCCTTCAATCAATAGCAATAAGCATATAGTTGAACAAATAGAGATAATACTATGGCAAATCTATATTAACATAACGAGAAAATAATCCTTCAACAGGTTCCATCAAAACCCTAGATTATGAGTTTAGCTACTCATACTCATAGAACAAATATCCAAGGTAATTTGCATTATTAAATTACAGAGTAAGGATAAAGATATGTAGAAATCAATATTTTTCAACTCCCAAGTAGTGTTCCACAAGCTATTCTTGCCTCCGGTTGCAAAAGTCTTTCAAAGTGGCTTTTTTGGGTCTATTTATATGTTTGGGACAAGCCCTAAACGTGTAGGTCAACTCCTAGTCAAACCGAAAAACAATAAGAACCTTCAAAACTCGGACTGGGCTTGGCCTTAGGCCTGGCGTCGCCTGGAAAACGCCTGGATAAAGCCAGCCTAGGCCTGGCTTTAAGCTGGCCTCACCTGGATAAAGCCTTGGTAGGCCTGACTTTAAGCTGGCCTCACCTGGATAAAGCCTGGTCGAGATGTCTTTTGCCCGGCTTCTCCTTTTCACTGTTCTCGAGCGCCCTTTCGACATTTAAGCATCCCTTTAGCTCTACTTTCATTTCCGATGCACCTACACATAAAATAGCCTCCATTACGCTCAAACAAAGTGTATTTTAACATTAAAGCATGTAAAACGCAAAGCATATAATGTGTAAAAACCATGAATTATAGCCACACATCAAAAAACAACAACCATATTTATATCAGAATACTCTTTGTAAAATTATGCCTCTATAACAGCTATATAGATTATTTAAGATTACTAATAATAATTCTAATTATATGCACATAATCTTTTTTATTAAACAAGGTTTATGTCTTGCATAAGACATAAGATTTGAAGATCCGCACATGATATATTTTCCATTAGATACCTTTTTGCTGAAAATTTGGACACGAGTCTTCGCCATTTCAGGCGTTCTATTGATAGTAAGAGAATAAATTCTACGAAACAACTACAATTACAAAGTCCTTCTATCAATCTTGAAAGGATTTATTTTTTTAGTAGCTTTAAAATGTGTGCCTTAGAGTTTAAATCTTTGTACGTTTTGTTAATGAATTTATTAATAATATAGTATTAGGTTTTTTCAATATATACCTAGTGAAATATGCATATCTTCTGACATTTTAAATTTGAATTTTTTTTTATCTTTTATATGTAACATTAAAATAAGAAAAATAATTGAATTTTGGATAAGTTTTATCTATAACAGCCAAAAAATATTGAAACGTTAAATGATGTTATAGGTGTATAACAGACATTCGCTATAAAAGTCAAAAAATTTCGAAACAAATGAGGCTGTTATAGAGAGGTTTGACTGTATAATGAAACTAAAGTAATGATAGTAATGGGTGAGAAAATTCTAGGAGATGAAGAATAGGGCTGGGCATATATCGAGTAACAATGATAGCTCAAAGTAAAAAATGCTATTGAGTTATTTTTATTGAGTTAATAGTTCAGTAGCGGTTTAGTGTTATTTCATTATTGGGTTATCGATTTTCGGTTTATCCAATTTTAATAAGCTTTTATCAAAATTATAGTTTTACCTTTAAGTACATAAAGCCACCTTAGTGTTTCATTCTCTTAATTCTCTCGGCCGTCACTTGTCATCTTCTGGCCTTACTCCTTCGGTTAAGTTTAAACTTTTCTGAATTGTTCATCTTATTCTTCGGTTCAGATTTTCAGTTTTGAACTTTGAAGAATTAATTATTCAGATTATTAGTTTTTTTTATTGTGTTTCTTTTGTGTGTTTAGGTTGAATATCGTTGCTACTAATACTATCGTGTATTGCTATAATTTCTTTTCAGCTGTTGTGCGTTGAAATATTATTAGAGAATAATAATTGTGTTTCTTTACAGTTGCTATTAATTCTTTTCAGCAATGCACAATTGTTGAATATTGCTGCTACTATTTGTGCATTGCTAAAACGAATAAGTTGAATAAATAACGTTGTTACTCTATTCTGCATTGCCTTTTTTTGTTGGTCTATAAGATTAATTACTTTCATTACTTCAAAACAAAAGGAGCATACAAGGAGGGAGGTGCAGGTGCACTACTGGTAGCATAAGGAAAAAGACATTCTACATCTATAGTTTTATCCGTAGATGGATCATTACAAAAAATAGTGGTTTCAATATCTATATAGCTACATTCTTGATTGTTCTGGCTGTCTTGTGCTCGCACTTGCGGTGGATTTACAGTAGTGGTGTCGGGTTGGTTTACAAAAAAAACAAGTGCGGATGGCTTCTACGAGCCACGCCTGTTAGGTCATGTGTGTACTCCTTGAGGGCAAAAATAGGGGCTTGTTCCATGGTCCACACACCAGAACCATTGGGCAACTTAGAGCCATACTTAGCCAAAACATCTGCTACCATATTTGCCTCCCTGTAGGTATGCTGGATGATAGGATCACCCAGCTGCATGAGCAAGAACCTGCAGTCATCAACAAGATTTAAGTAATGCACATTACGTTGTTTTATGATGGTGATTACCTCTTTTGCATCAATATTGATCTCTAATGGATAGCAGTGGTGCTGTAATGCTAATCTAAGGCCGACTACTAAGGCATGTAATTCCATGTGGATGCTATTTGCACTTGGGATATTTCCAGCAAATCCTCATACCCATTTACCTTCATGATTGTCACACCTCCTTTTTTACTACCCCCGCAACGGTATATATAAGGGAGTTTTTCCAATTTAAGTGACAATCGGGATTATTATTTAAGATCAGAGTCGCCACTTGGGATAATTTATGGTGTCCCAAGCCACCGGTTTAAAGATCCTGAATCGAGGAGATTTCACTCTGTTTTAATGTCTGCGAAACACAGAAATCCGGGTAAGGAATTCTGTTAACCCGGGAGAAGGTGTTAGGCATTCCCGAGTTCCGTGGTTCTAGCACGGACGCTTTGACCATACTTGGCTTAATCAAATTATTTAATTACTCATTTTTAGAACCTATGTGCATTTGCATTTCTAGTTAAGAAATTATCTTAAAACAGGTCACGCGTACGTGTAGCCGTTTGTTTTGGCGCGTCAAAAATCATGTCACGCGAACGTGTCCACAATTAATAACGCTTTATTATCATTAAGAAAGTTTGGTCTTATGTGAACGCATACTTCGATTTTATTTTTAGGATCGTAATTATGTCACGCGTACGTGTACACAACCACGATGGTACATTAAGCGTGCCTAAAGCAAACTACGAATATCATTTTTACAACACTTAACAAGAGGGCCATAACCGATTCAATTATGGATGGCACACCTCGGTCTAAAAGAACTATATTTAATTAAAGCGGGCTTTATTAATAACAATTTTATTACTATTGAGAAAAGTTGGTCGAAGTTGCGCGAGCGCATACTCCGATTTGTTTTTAGAATCGTAATTATGTCACACGAACGTGCACACAATCACAATTGTGGATTAAATCGTGCCTAAAGGCTTTTCTACGAATATTCATTTTTTAATAGCTAAGTTACAATATTTGTGAGGGCCATGACTGATCTAGTTAGGATGGCACGCCTCACTCCATTTTTAAAGAACTACACTTAATTGAGATGGCCTTATGATATCCTTATCTAGAATTGATATAAATTTAATGGGCAGCTAAAGTAGTAAAGAGTTTGAAGTGCATGGCTAAACCTTTAATTATTTAAAGTCCAGTCTGGGTTCGGCTTAAACCCAAAGAGATTTTTTTTATAAAAAAGGACGAAACTGGGCTCAAGAGAATAAAGGGTGAGGCAGGTGGTCAATGAATTCCTAAACGGGCCAGCAACCGCTAGGCCCAATTCTGCATAACCCTACTTTAGGTAGTAAGGCC